TAAGACAATGCAATTGTGTTTTCTTATTTTAAGTGTAAATTGTCTTGTTCCACTGGCAAAATGTCTCTTTTACCTCCTCAATCCAAGAACAAATGCACTTATTTTGATAAAAAATGACTTATCTAGATTCAGATTTTTTGCAGTGCAGGAGGAGATCCAGGAGAATGAGGCAGCTCAGAGAGAAACAGTGCCTTGCCGAAGCATCCAGTGGTTCAAGCTTGGTCACATTTCTTTCAGATTAGGACCAAAAACTTCACTGTAGTGGGATTTTTTTAAACAGATCGACCAAATGAGCTCATAGTGTAAAGACCAGATTTTTAAATGCGCTGTGTAAAAGCACATAATTCTAAAAAAAAGTTTAATGAATCTCCATCACTGTACATTTCCTAATATGCTGGTGTGTAGCCAATAACCCGAAAATATTTCTACAGTTTTGGTTTCAGATGAAACTGTAATGAAGAAGAATATGGAATATTTTCATGGATAAAATTCAGAAAAGTGACCCGAGTCCTGTGTTTAGGCAGACACCATTTCAGACCAGCCTGCCTCTGTGCCACAGTCCATCCATTGCTGAAACTGGCAAACAGAAAGTCCTAAAGCTTTCTGTCCATAGCTGCTTTCTTCAAGCTTCTTTTCCAGATTTGTGGATTGTACAAAGAACTCTGTTCCCATCAATAGATTCTCTAACCTGAGCTGTGGATTTCTGCAGCTTCTGTAAAGTTACTTGGACTTATTTTCTGATAAATGTTCTTCTTTCTCAGTCTGCCATTTTAATTTCATAATCACCTTGATCTGTCACGGCACTTCTATAACACAACAAAATATGCCCTTTGAGCACAGTGAACAGCTTGCAGCCCATGGAGAACATTATAGGGTTAAGTATCTTGCTCAGCGTCATGATCTTGGTGCTGATAACTGGCTTGATTACTCATTTCATTCACCTGCCTAGCTGCATCCAGTTCTCATCTTATCCACCTGCTTCAACCTCTATTAAACCTGCCTCCTCCCAGTCATCAGTGCCAGATTATTCGAGCCTTTGGTGAGAGTTCTCCAGTGTTCCTTTATGTTCTGATTGCCTGATCCTGACCCATTCTGCCTCTAGACCTCTGAGCCTGCCTGTCCATGTTCTGATCTGTTTGCCTGACCTGACCCTGGACTTCTGCTCGATTTTGCCTGTTTAGTGAACCTGAATTTCTGACACCAGTACCTCTTTGGATCTCTTATATCCTGGTTTTGATTCCTGAGCAGGTCCTCAATATCAACTTTGGCTTCGCCCACTGGATTATCCTGCCTTTCTTTTTCTGCTCGATTCTGATCTCCTGCATGTCCTCCGACCTCCGGGATTACAGCTTCTGGGACTCTTTCGGCAGCGCCCACCTACATCTTGTTAGCGACTGACTGGCTGGAACCAACCTCGTCCACTTGGCAAGGACTGAACTTTAAGACCAGGTTAGTGACTCACGCATTCATTATTCTCCACCAGACAGATGTGGTCACTAACCTTTGTTCTCCTTCTTCTATGGTTCCTGCCTTGGATGCTGTCCCTGTTTTCTACTGTTAAGTCTTAAAAACACATTTTGTTAATCCTTATTTTCTCTTTACCTTGAATATTAGGCCCTCTTGTTCTGAGCCTGACACTCAGAGACCCAAAAAGATGATCCTGCAGCCTCTTCAGGACGACCGTGATGAAGGCCACAAAAACATTGGTCTGTCAGTACTTTTGCCTTCAAGAACTTCATGTGTTACTGAAGTGCTCACTTCACCAGATCATTGACCCTTCTAATGTGTTTTGGAAGTTGGTGAAGTTGTAAAAAGAAAAATTATAACGCCTCCAGGAAGTAAATGCCCTGCTCTCTTGCTACTAAACCACCACTCCACTTGTGATATTGTTTTATGGCCTTACTCTACATTAAACCAAACTTGATTCTGACATGCCTGGTGAATTACTTGTTTACATCAGGAGTGTCCAAAGTCTGTCCTCAAGGACAGGTGTCCTTCAGGGTTTAGAGGTTTCCATGTTTAAACACACCTGATACAGACGGTTGCAGCTTAGCAAAAGCCTGTTAATTGGCAGTGAAAACCGTGGATGTAAAGCAAGTAGAGGTTGACTGACAAGGTTTGAAAAGTTCAGTTTGTGAAATGTGAACATGACTTGGATGACTGAGAATCTTTAGAAAGATAAGATACTGACTTTGGAGACCAATGGTCAACATTTTCCTACTTTGGGTAACGCCTTCACAGAAAAGCTGGAGTTATTCTGGTAACCTGGGTCTGCTGGAGGTTTCTTCCAGTTTAAAAGGGAGTTTTTCCTCTCCACTGTCGCTACAAGCATGCTTAGTGTGAGGGATTGCCTTTGAGTCAATGAGTCGATGCAATCAACTGGTTTTCCTTTGAATCACTTTGACTGGATGATCATGTGTTGTGAATTGGCGCAATATAAATAAATATAATGAAACTGAATGAAACCACTTGCAAGTAAACTTTTACTTTTTAGGTGACTTCTGAATATAGTTGCTGGTACTGGATTTTCTTTGGGGGTTTCAGGATATTTGGATTGGGAAGCATCCAAGCCACACTACTTTAATTTGAAATTTAAATTAAATAAAAAAAAAAAGGTATTTCACCTAATTTATCACTTTGTGTTTCTCACAATATAAGCAAAGAAAAGATACTGAAGTTTGTAGTTTTAAGGTAGAAAGTCTTTAAAGGTTTAAGAGACGTAAATATCTGCAGGAATAGAGAGAATGATTCTTCTTTATGGATCAACGAGAAACATGAAAATGAAACATTCAAATCTAACCAGCATGGTGGACTCATTTTAATTGCAACTAAAGCTGAAGTTCTTCGGGTCAGATTGTGAAAATGTCAGAGTTCAAAGATTATAAGAATGATGTGAAGGCCATTAAATCTTTCACATGAAACTGAAGTCAGTCTGCAGGTGAATTATAATTACATGTCCCGTCGACACATGAGCACGCCGAAGCCTGACGCATGGACCGAGTGCACGGTGTCGCTGTGATTAATGTGTGACACGTAGAAGTCCGATAGTTTTTTTTCATCCCATTTGTCTCCGCAGAGCTGTGAAACAAAGGCCCGAGATTAAAAAGCTCTCATTCAGCCCGACTCATTAGACCTTTTGAGATTTGTCACATTGTTGACATAACTTTTAATTAGGGATGCACGATATAATCGGCCCCCTATCTGTATCGGCCTTAAAACTGAATATCGGACATCGGCCACCCCACCGATATTTAACCCGATATTTGATCAGCTTCTGAGTTTCTAAAGTCTAAAAAAAAAAAAAATACTACTTCTTCTTCTTCCTCAAAAACTTCTTTTTTACAGACTTAAAAACTTCTAAAGACGAGGGAAAAAATATTGATACATTAAAATATCCCAATATCTTCATATGCTGATATATTGCCATTTAGAAACACCATATCAATCTCTTTTACTAATGAAATATTGCTATATGTCATCGTTATGCTACGAAATCCCCCGAAAATTCACCAAATGTTGCCATATTTTTATATGTCGATATATTGACGCGGTATCGATCTATTTTACTAACAAAATCTCACAAGAATTTGCAAAATATCACAAGAGTTTGTAACAGAATGATGAAATTTCACGAGATTTTGAAAGTAAAATAGATCGATACCGCGTTTTTAAGAATAAATTTGATATCAGCATATGAAAATATATTTCAGTATATTATTTTTCAAAGTGTCAGAAATGGATAACAAAACTGCTATTTTCAATGACTACTAATTTTTGTCCAGCTTTAACATCGGTATCGATATCGGTTATCGGCTACATGAGTTTTAAAATATCAGCATATCGGATATCGGCCAAAATCCCAATATCGTGCATCCCTACTTTTAATATATCGTATTATTATTTTGTGTAAAGGACAAAGCAACACAAACTAGCAGAAAATTGGAAAGTGAAATTAAAAGAATCCATTTGTTTCAAAACTTTTTCCAAAGAAAAATCTCTAGTATTAAATCCGTTAATACTTTGAAGAAACTACATTTCGCTGCCACTAACAGCTTAAACTCACTAATACTTGTTGGATTTTCGGTCTGGGCAATTAGTAAACATTAATATGCTTTTATCTAAACCAAGTAGCTCAGGCTGCATGTTTGCAGGGTTCCTACAGCATAAGGCAAGTTAAATTCAAGACTTTTTAAGACTTAATGAAATAAAAATTTAAGACCAAATTCACAAGAAACACAAGAAAAACCTGCTTGCAACAACTTAACCCAAAGGTTTATTTTAACATAAACCACTGCACTAATGTTTCAAATTTTGAAAAGCTTCCCATACAGGAAGAAAGCTAAAAACACACAAATGACAGATATATTTTAACAATTATTTAACTGAATTCACAAACTTTGTTTTAGCAGGGAACAAAACAAATCAGTTTTAAAGCCCCAACATAACCAGTGCTAAGTCTTTTTTGCAGCTATAGCATGGTACTGCATGCATTCTTCAGTTCATCCTCCACCTGTTGCAAGTATGCCATCTTTTCTTTATATCATTTTCTATGTTTTATTTGGTGATAAGTGGAGGCGTTGCAGAGACAAGGGTGGAACTAAACTGAGAAATACCGGACCTACGAAAGACTGATTTAAGACATTTTAATACCAATTAGGGCCTTAGTTTTATTTTGAAGAATTCAATGCCTTTTAAGACTTTTTAAGGACCCGCGGGAACCCTGGTTTGGATTCCTTCAAAGGTTCCTCATGTCTTCAGAGTCGACCCTGTCTCTGCTGAACCATCCCCACAGCATCATGCTGCCACCATTTTCTACCCAGGGGACAGTTTCTCATTGTGATTGTAAGGAATGCTTCTGCAAGGTCATCTAAACTATATGTGGTGACTACTATATATAAGCCTACTGATTGCTATATATAGATAGTACGGTATATATGTGATACCATTCAAAATAATCAGTATTTCTTTAAAGTAAGAGTACATTTTGAGGGCTTTCTTACCTTTCCTCTTGGAGTCCCGTCTAACGCTGCTGGGCCTGACCGCTGGCTGAAGCTCCGTCTCTGTTGACATCCTCAGGCTCCAAGTGGGCTAGACTGGGCTCTGCCGGGCTCCGAGGGTCCAGTTCACAGCGTCAGTGCCGGCTGTGGGTGCGTAGGCGCCGAGTGCGTGCGTCAAGGCGCCGTGTGTGTGTGCGTGGGCACACAGGCTCATGGGAGAGGGATGGGTTTTAGCCCTGACACAACATCCCGCACACACCCACGGAGATCTGGATGGAGAGACAGACAGGAAAAAACAGGTTTGCTTTGTTAGGTCATGCTTACTCTGAGCGGGCGAAACTAAGCAAGGGTTATCAGCAGGCATGAGAATGAGCTTGTTTCTGATCTGCCTTGAGTAGATGTTGCCCATGGTAACAGAGTAGAGGGACCTGCACTCCACTTTGTGCTTTCTGTCAATAATGTGGCTCAGCAACAACATTTACTGAAGAATAATCTACCCAGCATGCTTCAGTCTTTAATTACCAAGCTAATTTCCAAGGCTTTAGAAGTATGACTAATCACCTTTTATACAAAACTTTTATACCTGATGTCAAGTGAGACTTAATCAACCAGCACCTCTTAACTAATTAGCTCACTAATCTCCTCAACCTGTCACCACATTCTGCACGTTGAAATGTTAACTTAAATAAAGCAGAGGGGAATCAAAAACACGCAGGTCTGCAGCTCTATATGACCAGATCTATCCACATATTGAGAAAAACAGCTCTAAATCAGGGAAGCTATGATCTAATACCAAGGATGGGTCAGGGTTTTTAAAATGATCCAACTGACTGATGACGTCCTGATGCGTGGAGCTAGGGCGGAGGAAAAATGTCACAGGCCTAAATAGGAATGGGAGAAGGGAAGATAAATCAATGAGGATTTTGTTTTTTTGATCTTGGATCAGAAAAATAAACTGAAGATCCTTCTTTAATGTTAGAGGTGAGAGAAAGATGGTGTTGGCTGCTACAGCTTCCTCGTCTGACCGTGTCCGATCCTCGGTTGGGAATGGCGGGAGAGCCCAGTGAAGAAGCGTCTAACAAAGCTGTAAACGAAATTAAATCAGTAAATCCTGTAGAGCCGAGCGAGAGCAGAAAGGAAGCTAAGCGCGTGGAGAAGAAGTGCGATGTCGGAGTTGAGCGTGCAGCAGACCCGTTTTGAGAGCGGGTGGGCTCGTTTAAACGATTCCAAAACAGAAAATTAAAAACAATCCACTTGACTTTGTTTCCAAGTTTGAAGGCGTTTCGCTTCCCATCCAGGAAGCTTTTTCAATTCAAAAAGTTTAAACGATGCACATTGTTCTCACTGCACGTTCAGTTTGGTGGCACTAAAATTGCTCCATAGATGTTGAGCAAAAAAAGACGAAATGCAAAGTGTTGCCTGAAAACTGTCGGGACTGTTGGGAAGTAACGCATCCTACAACCACAGCACAACCACGCTGTTAAGTTTAAAAATGTGCAAAATGCTCCATTTTGATTTCAGCTGAAATGTTTGCAACAGAGGAAACATTTTTCTCCTGTTTAATGAGACATTTTTGAATGTTTAAACCTGAATGGATACAAGACTTTAACATTTAATTGATACTAATATGTTATTTGATTTATTCAATAAATAAATTATAAATAGATCAGTTTCATTTCCTGCACATGCTTTCTTTTCTGATAGAGCAGCAGGAGCATTTATCGTTATCGAGGTAAAACTGCCTGTTAGGACTCCAGTCTGTGTGGTCTGTGTGTTTGTTTTCCTTCCTCCACCAGGAGGCGCCTGGTTCAGGTCCGCCTCCTCACACACCTGCTGATGGTTTCCTCGTTAACGGAGTGTTTCTTAAGCTGCTGACTGCCACTACCTCGACGCCAGAGTGTTTGCCAGTTTTGGGTACTCTAGCCAAGCTGAGTTTTGCTGAGTCAAACTGAGTTTTTGTAAACCTGAGTCTTAACATTGTTTTTTTTTGTCTTTGCCTCTCAGCAGGAAGTCATCCTGCAAACTGGATTTTTTTGGACCTTCTCTCCCTGGAAGGATCAACTGAGCTTCAAACTGAGCTGAGGAATCACACTGGAGGTTTGGATCCACTTTTCCCGGAGGAAACGTTTGAGCTTCAAACTGAGCAAGAGATTCATCTGCACAACAGTCCATTCAAGTACCGCAGGAAATCTGAGTGGCAGTCAGTCTTTCTCAGTTCATCTACAAGCAACCGCATTCTGGGTAACCCAGTCCGCCCTCCACCGTATGAGACAAACTTCGGAACACAGTCCTCACCTACTGGAGTCTAAGGGCCAGATCTATCAAAGGTTTGCGTGTATAAAAATGTGAGCTATTTCAATGCGCACGCTAAAAAATGTACAAACTGATCTATCAAGAGCGTGCTAAAAGGATTTGGTCTTTAAAACGTGCTAAATAGCGCCTCTTATCCATTTAGTACTTTTTCTGCAATGAATATGCAATATGGGGCGTTTACACGCAAAAGTGCGTCTTGTGGGAGGAGAACATGTAAATACATTAATTTAGCACTCGCAAAGTGATTTATCAAACCTGAAAGCAATTTTGCTAACAGTATCTGACTCTATATTTAACACGTTTCAAAAGAAGGTGCAAATGGTCTGTATGCGCAATTGCGCACACATGGCAGCGGTTATTGTCGCAAGAAGGAGACATCGAAATGAAGCAAGGAGACGCAGAGAACGCATTTTTTCACTCTGTATGAATATTTTTGCAATGAACGAGGAAACGATCATCAAAACATATCGTTTATCCAGCATTGCCATTTTGGAGCTGTTGGGGGAACTCCAAATGGATTTGGAGCCAGCCACAAGGAGGACCCACGCAATACCAGATATCACAAAACTCCTTGCAACATTGCACTTTTTTGCATCTGGGATCTCCCAATCTCGTTTTTCAGAAGTGCTTTCCGACGTTCTAAATGCCATGTCGCCCTGACGCCCTAACGGAGAACCCCGACCTCCTCCTTGCGCCTGTGGAGCAACATGCCAATGCTGCGGGGATGCGTACGCGCAGTCATCTTATCCACAGTCGCTTCTTGTGAGCCATTTGGTAAGTGCATTTTTCTACAGGCCAATACAAAACACCAGTTTTTTTTGTTTTTTTTTACTGCAGTGAAGTAGAAATTCAACCACATACCACCTTAGGGAATAAAGGTTGCCAAAGTTTATATATATATATATATATATATATATATATATATATATATATATATATATATATGTTTTTTTTATTATTATTTTTTTATTATTTATTTTTATTTATTTATTTTTTTTATTTTATTTTATTTTTTTTTGTGGAGGGGGTGGGGGTGTCACTGTAATGCACTAGTTTGCACAAACTACAAACTACTTTGCCGCAAACCACAAAACGCGCAAAACCATCATTTAAATAGGGCGTCTCCAACAGTTTTGCACCTGCCACCAGTTACGCAATAACTCTTGTTAAATCACCCGCAAACCATGGTTCAGCCCCTCGCGCAAAATTCCAGTTTGCGAGCGCAAATTACTGCACGCAAAATTGGATCTTGATAAATCCGGCCCTAAGAGTCAACCAATTCTCTGGAAACTTTAGTCTGCCAACCATTTCTCCTCTTCAAGTTCGAGAATCAATTCTCCCATTGAACCTGAACTAACCGCAGTTTCTTCCCACCTTTCAGTTTCCGGTTGAGCAGTGTTCAGAGCAACACTGGAATCTCCACAAAACTTCTCAACAAAACCTGTTAAACTTTTTCCCTTGTCTCTCTGAGCTGGTTTATCTGCATGTGGGTCCGAGCTCTTGATAAAATCATGACACTGCCCAATTTATGGTCATATTGATTTGAGGTCCTATTGCCGAGCCCTAACTAAGATTATCAATGAGTCCTATGAAAACAGAGGGTCAACATGCTAAAGTTAGATAAAAACATTCTCAGCAAAAATAAGAAATCTAGGGTTGATCAATAAGTAATACCCCTGACCCACTTCCAGCCGTTTGATCAAGCTGTAATTTTGCATGTGCAATTATTTATATCTCTGTAGATTAAGCAGCAGATTGTGGCTTCTGATTTACAGGTGTTTGAAATGAGTCAAGTCTGAAATGGAGCCTGTTGAGAGTTGAATAGTGATCCATACACACCATGGGAGACTTTTGATGAAATTAAAGTAACTTATGGCGTTGATGCCCCATCATACGGTAAAAGGTTTTACATGACTGTCTAAATGCATTTCACAACAATCTGCCTCTTATTCTATAGAGATATAAATAATTGCACATGCAACATTTCAGCTAGATCAAACAGCTGGAAGTGGGTCAGGGGACTTACTGGTTGAACGTCCCTCGTACCAACAGTACCACTGTGCCCACCTTCAATCAGACATTATCAGGATATTATATTTTTGAAAACTGGAACCTCATATTGTGGCTGACTTCTGGTTTTGGTCAAAAGTAGGAAACACCTTCTCTTTTTTTTATTACCACCATTTTGAACTCCTTAAAGCTGGTAAAATAAAAAATAAATCAGATGACAACGTCAAAGAGAGCAAACCCTCGAACATGGACTGCCTGTATGTGAGAAGGGGAGGATGAAATTATGACAATAGATCATGATGAATTAGACCTTGCCTAAACAGAAATATGGTTGGATCGTCTCTATGTGTTGCGACTCTTTGCTTTGGCTCAGACACTAAGGTTTAAAGTTCTCTTTTCTTCATCCTGATAAATGAGCTTTTATGTAGGTTTTAAGAAGCATAGCAGTGATATTTCATCCATTATAAAATCCAGACAACTTATCATCAAAAATCTTTTTCTTTTTTATAAAATCGAATTTCCCAGCAACCCCCATCTTACTAAATACTGTATATTAAAGGTGGAAAACAGAGATGGTAGGATTTCCAGTTTGCACTATTGCTGAACATTTGAATTGACCTTTTAATCCTGGTTAATGACCCCTAAAAAAAATTCAAGGCCTTTTTCTGTAAGACAAACACTTGGTGAGCCTGAAGGCCCCTTTGGCCCTAAAACTACGTCCTTTCGGAGCCCATCTGCCTCTCCTTCAGTCTGAAGTGCTGACTGTATAACCTTGCAACCAAAGGTACTCAAACTCCCAGTTTGTTCTGTTTTTCGAAGAACATGAAAAAAAAAAACACACTTGAAGACAAGCGGCTTTCTTAGTTAAGAGATACCAGAACAAAGGCAGCAAGAGAAAGCTGCTAGGTGCTGTGCACCATCATGAAGCTGACTACTTGCTGACTAT